AAATTTATTTTATTATCACTTGTGAGCAAGCTGACTGTGAATTAATACTGTTCATAAAGCACTGTGAGAGGGAATGTGCTGCCGGCAGTCGACAAACTTTATCGCTGAGAAAAATGTAAGTCATTGCTCCGGTGTATGCCACCAGTTCGGCGACCGGTTCGTTGGTATAATTCCGACGATTATTTGTACAAGTCTCGTGGGATTTAACCAAGGGAAGAGAATGCAGAGTTGAAACGCAAATAAAAACAAGAGTATATAATGTTGTGTTAATAAAAAAATAATAACCATTTTATCTAATTTTAGTAGCTAAATCGCATACATCCTAATTATTACGTTGTTTGAACGAATAGACATGCAGTCAGGAGGCATAGAGTCGGAAGCGGTTCAGTGGCGTATCCAGAGGGGGCCAGGGGGACCATGCCCCCCCCCAAATGCATGCCGATTCCGTAATGTTAAGCGAAGCTTCCCCCCATACTTTTTGCTGGATCCGCCATTGAGGCGTTTGGTGACACACAACTGTGATAAATTTTAAATACTTACCTACTGTGTTAATAATAATGTCAGCCATTTCGTATCCGCCATATATCAATCTATGCATTATCTATATTAGTTGTATGTCATCAATTTTAATTCATCTAATGCACAACTGAAATGTACAAACACATTGCCAAGATATTCTTTTCTTAGTACCACACAAATAATTTAGTCTCAATATTATATAGTTTATTCGGTATACTAGGCGATCAGCCCTGAATACCGTAAGTGATTAGGGAAAAAACGTAACATTGCGCCATATCAAGGTAAAATACAATGATTCTCGTGGTGTAAAACCATGAAAAATTCATTTGATATATGACAAAGTATATGGAATTTCAGAATTTAAAAAAACAATTAACGAATTTAACATGTGATAACAATTGCAGTAACTAAAAAAATAGGTTTCCATGAGATGTTCAAATACGGGACATGCACAACTAAACAGACACTCTCCCTCAACGTGCTGCAGATTACATAGTTTTTTTCGTATCCACCTATTTCTGAGTGTCTGCTCCGTGTTGCCTCCTTATGACATTGATTAAAACACGTGAAAACACCTGAGAAAAAATGTACTCATGCATTTGTACCATTTCCACACTCCATCTCTCTCATGTAATTGTAAAGCATCACGGGAAATCCGTTCATTGCCAACTTGCGTATTATGGCGGCTGGGGGATTAGAATGGAGATATTTCTAAGGTTTGTTTGCTTCTTCAGAATATTTGGATTCTTCTTTGTTGTCGCATGTCTCCCCTTTAACAATAATTAAAGAGAATGAAATCAGTTATTAAATATGGCAGTATCTCTAAAAGGGCGGTGGTCGTCGCGTCACGCATGCGCGAGATATATGGGTCTTATATTAACAAAGATAGCGACTTTGACTATTGGGAAGATCAATGGGTACAAACTGAGACGTTACCAAACTTTAATTAGGTATTTTTTTTAAGTGATTGAAGTCACCGGCGGTAATTAGTGCAAGTCGCGCCCAGATCAAACCTCAGACTTGTGATTTCCATTAGAAGAGCGCATTGAATTGTGGAAAAATCAATGTTTATCATCACAAATGTCGCACATGCGCAGATCGACGAATACCGCCCATTTTAAACCAGTATGTCCGAGTGCACGGTGATTCATGATGATACGATCTAATTCAAATAATTATACCGCCAGGATGGATTTGACCAGTAAATATGTACAAGTGGTATGGATGAAATATCGTCGACATGGACGTAAGCACAATTAGATGCACAAAGACAAATACGAAACTAAAAACAGACATTAAGACGATCTCCTGCGAATAAAAACTACATCTTTATTAGCATTATCAATAACAAATTAAGGTGGCCAGATATTATACTCGCCTGATTTCTGAAGCTTCGGTTCAAATTGATTCCAGAATGCACATTCTCTTGCTTTAATGCGTTACTATTCTCCATTGATAATGAGAGTTGTTTATACGCTAAACCAGGCACTGTAAACAATGGCCAGTCATCTTGTTATCTTCATCACTTGCAGAACTACGATTAGGATTACAGAAGCAAAATATCAAACAATTTCATTTTAAATTACTTCACTAGTTTAGTGCTTTTATTTTACAATGACATTAATTTCGTATCAGTACTTGAACATCCACCAAACGTGTGTTATATAGTAGTCGATTTTGTCAGATTATCATACACATTAAAATACGTACGCATATGCAAAACGATATTCATTTAATATTAACAAAGCCTCTCCATGTGTACATCCATTTGAAATAGTGCTAGCAACACTTTCTCCCGATTATTTCCGATGTCATATTTGTTGTTACACGTTCTAGTTATATGAGTTGTACATGTTCTTAATTTAGTATTTTAGAGTCAATGTTCTCGCATAATTTTGGTGGAAATGTTCAAGTACGGTAACATGACGAACTGACTTGACTACATTTCAGAAAACCACTAACCATACACGTACATTAGTTTTATTATCCAGTCATACTTACCCTGTTTTGGCAAAGTTCGTCCAGTACTTCATCATTTTTAAAGTCACATGTATATCATCCTTATTTGGTGTCTGCTTATATATTGTCGTCTCGTCACCACCAAGGGCAAGCTGCTTCTCGGAGAGCAGGGTGTAACCAAACGTAAAACTGATATCATCTCCATGCTTTGCCGTATTGCTGTTAATAGGCCATAGTGATTTTGCTGGTACGTGCGTCATCTGGTACAGATACGTGGCAAGCCCTGCTGCATAATGTGCACGTGCAGCTATGTCAGTGGGACAAACCATTATCATATCCCCTGCCATCTGACTCAACGCTGACAGGTAGTTGGCATTCTCCTCATCAGCGTGGTCCCAGTCAACGTAAATTAATTTAATTGTATCTAAGACAGCTTGCTTCTTTCCTGGAGTAAACACGGAATACATTGCCTCATACATAGTTTGTTCACATTTAACTCGTCAGCAGATTCACCGAGTAGCCCAAAAAAGAAAAGCACTCCTTCGTCAGCCGTGGTACCAATCATCAATTCCTCGCTATTGAAAGCTTTTTTCGCGATCAATTCCATGGGATCTTCGTGTATAAAATGGCCATCGATAGTTGGTGTGAATGGTACTAGAGTTCCTATATCAAAAACGACCTGACAATATAAATGAAATCGAAATTATAGAGCGTATCACAGGGAAAGCTGGAAACACTACCTTTCCCAATAGAAAACAGATGCCCGAGCTTCATAACAGTTCATTAAGATACTTTGATCAAAGCAGTAATACTGCCGGAAACAACGTAACTGAGCTGAGGAAAACGACTACTCGGAGTATTCACAAATGATGGTTACAGTGAGCGTGAAGTTAGAATAGTATTATTGTTTTCCCGAAATGCATTGCGTGATGTTCATAATAATCTGAGAATGTATGCGCGCACGGGGCTTGACATGTTCGGCCTGGGGTTTGGTGTGCACTCACAGCTTTGGTTTCGAAGCATTACATATTGACTCTACCTTGCGGCCCAAAGATTTGTTTTTCCATTTCTCGTTTTACTACTTAATATGTAAATTGTTTACGTAACGGTCTGAAATCGGTTTACACTGACCTGGAAACACCCAAGTACACCCACTTATTCACTGATGTCTCACTAGGAAATAATCCAATTTCCACTGGGAGGTTTGCCAAAACGATATTCTCTACCAAGCTACTCACCATCATTTCTACGATTGGGTTTTAATTTTCATTGATTCTGCATGTCGTTATGCTAACTGGATAGTTCGAAGTCTAGTTTTTACACTATTGTAAACATCGCGCAGGTCTTATTATCATATTGTCATATAATTTTACTTAACTCTCAGAGGAATTAATGAATTCCCTTTATTTTTTATGAATATATTTTTAAATGGCAGTTAAATCCAACCAGCCAATCAATGAATACAGTTGAATCCAATCAGCCAATCAATCAATCAATCCAGTTAAATTCACCAGCCAATCAATGAATACAGTTAAATCAATGCAGCCAATCAACGAGTAAATGCGTGTGTTATTCAATCCAATGAAAACTTCAGTCTCTTTTCAGTTTGAATCGTGACATTTATAAACATTTGAAAAAGATGAAGACTCGGCATGCTAATGTAGCGCTGAAAGTACTCTAACTACAGCTACCATGGTGTTACTTGTAATAGTCTCTGCTACCGCATCATCGAAACAGGTAGTCAAATATCTACGGAAACCCTTGTTAATGTTCAGCGGAAGCGGTGCACTGATCGAGTTGTGTTTGGCTATACACGATTCAATACACAATTTGATGTTTTCTCTCACGTCGCATTTGTGACTATGATGTAAATTATCAAATATTCCCTTGAGACTTTGTTACCTTTGTGACGTCAGACACATCTCTAAACTTGTCAGCTGGTACAGTACGAAGACATTCAATTAGCTCTTTACTGTTGTCTTTCTCACATCCAACAAGTTTACCCTGACCATGTGCTATCTTGTTAGTCTTGGATGCATCGGACAGAAATAATCCGGGGCATTGTTGCAGTGCCGCTCTGTAAAAATGAGGCATAATATACGTCATCCATCACCTGATTCGGGAGTTCAAAAACAGTGAGTTCATGAAAAGCAGCACAAGCGCCACGACATTTTAGATACTACTGAAATATCGGATCATAAAAATAACAAATAAATGTAACCTGTTTCATTGTCTGCCATTTAGGTTATAACTGGTGACGCACTTCCCAGACACAAATAATAGAGGAGAAGTAGTCCCTATTAAATCCTTGTTATCGAGCCGTACATCCTTCCCTAGATATAATTATGCAGCGAAATGCCGAATACTGTGGAATTTTCGCTATTTTCACTGAAGGAATGATTCGAAAAAATCCAAAAAAAAACTATTCAGCGAAAATTAATTCCAGCAAAAATAAAATATTTCACAGTATATGCAATACGCTCATAAACTATATAATGTAATTGCACAATATTCACGAGCAGACGAAATAAAATCTCAGACGAAAATGATTTTTCAACGCGAAACAATCATATTAGCTTTGTTGTTTGAAGGGTGCGTGTAAATTAACGAAAAAAATGATTGTTTTTCGCTGATTTATAGGCATTTTGGTTCGTCCGTCGCGTTGTCGTCTGTTAACCCGGTTGCACGTGGTACCTATCCCGCAATAAGAACGTACCATTTAAACAATCAGTGTTATTGTAATTTGAAACAGCAGCAGTATATCTTTCCTATTTAACACATAATTTTACCTATATAGTTTTTTTTTTAATTGTTGAAAAACAATAACGTAGATGCAGAATTAAAAGTAATTCAAGAAGGTAAACGATAGATAATGTTTTAGATAAAACACTCGCTACGTGTAGAATAGTTGCTAGATATATAATCTAAATAGGTATGCTTAGAAACGCTTGAAAACAATTGTGACACTGCCGTGCTACCAAGTCGGTTTGTGTCAGTGGTCGATGACGATATGAAAAAGAAGATCGAGGCACAAGAACACAAGACAGACACGCAAGAAAACCACTGTACGATATGAAATCACTGAAAGAGCTTATGCAGGCACCAGTAATAAACATACAGAGAAATACATGAAGTAGAAAAAATATAGGCAAAACTATGAGACGAGATCCCTTCCTTTAGTTTCGAAATAACTTCGAAGCTCCACAAATATGCGCATTCCTTGAACAGCGACGTCGATGTGAAACGTTTAAGTTAAAATCAACAGAAAAATTTAAGAAAGGAAGGAAGGGCAGTTTTTTATTCGACTTTTGTCACTGCAATTTATTGCTGTAAAAAGAGTACTTATTAAATTTGTATGTACATGTGGTACTATAATGTAAACCGCTTTACGCTTTGTTGTTCTTATTCAACCGACTCGCTTAGTTTTAGAACGGAATTACTACGCAGATGTTTATTTTGTCGGCTTCACGGCGGCTGGCGAAACTCAATTGTGACAGTTATGTACTACTACCAAATACTGATACCAAAGGCTCAAAACATTAAAATGTCTACACTCGTTTATTTAATTCAATATCACATGGTCACTAATTGGAGATCTTCTATTTATGCAAATACACCAATCAATATTGGTGAAGCTAAACATGATAATGGTACGTACCTGCATAATCGCCCTTTTGAACAGACCTTTACTCATTGGAGATAACACGTGATAATGCGCACTTACAGACCCAGCACTCTCGCCAAATATAGTAACAGTATCGGGATCACCGCCAAAGGCTGTGGGGGAAACATAATACATGCTCAACATGGTAGAACGCATGCAGCACGTTGCAAAGTACAAGTAAGACTGTAACAAATGTCCGTCGAAATCTCGCTGATTTTAGAGCTGACAGACAACATTTAAATCAATTTTCAGTTTTCACTCAAATATTTGGCTATTTTTGTCCAAAGCTTTTGAAGAAAAGTGCAGACTATAAATTGTGATGAAAAGAGGGAACTGGTAGTGAAAAAGTAAGAGAAAAAATACGTCTCGTGGCCCTCTCGCTCCCAATCTTGGCGGCCATTTACTTCAAAGGTATATTAGCACTACAACTATTTTTAAATTAATATATACGAGTTATAGCTAGTACCTGCAATATTTTGCTGGACCCAACGAAGTGCTTCTACTTGATCCAGGAAACCATAATTACCGGAGGCTACGTCATCACCTGTCAACATATGAGGGCAACTAATTGACACGTTTGTTAGATTTGTTTACGGTTAAAACATCGCATGGTCACATAATGCAAAATGCCATATGTCTTTGTACATATGCATGGATAGTTGAAAGACATATTAGATATTGTAGAAGATGTTTCAGACCAATACACACTGTAATGAATTTGCGTCACACGAGAGCTGCGAACCAGCCTGCAACCTACTAACATAATCAAATAGGTCACGTGACGCTCGCCTGAAACCCAAGGCAACTCGGCTATTCTCCGATAACTATCTCTGAAACTACGTGACACTGGCAACATGATTGAAAAACTGTCAATTAACATATAAACAGTTTATTTAAATACTTACCTGTACTAAGAAATCCAAGCGGCCCCACTCGATAATTAATGGTGACTACGATGACGTCATTCAATGACGACAGTATCGTTGAGTCGTACATCCTCGTTCCGGATCCAACATTAAAGCCGCCTCCATGGATCCAGAACATCACAGGAGTGTTAGCTTTCTAAAGGAAATGGAAGTGAAATCCAAATTGTAGACAGAAATACGGTATCATATTCAATATAATTTATACACTCTCAAAGCAAGTCTTCGGCATTAGGAACAAAGCGTTTTTACAGGAAATAAAAAGGGAGTTCCATTTACAGTAAAAATAGTTTTTTTGCACTTTACAGATAAAGCAAATTATATTTCACATTTTTATGATATACTTGGTAATTTGTGTTTAAGAATCAAAATTGGATATTGCGTACGAATTACGACATTTAAAGTTGAAAATGCTTTATACGCTTACGAAAAATAAGATTTTTGTACAAATTATGTAAATAGCTGATTGCATTTTACACCTTGTTCATGTCTACGAATTTATGTTTTTTTTTATTTATTTAAGTTACAATAATGCGGAAAAAAAACAAATGATTACAGCTTACGAAAATATCCCTTGCCGACCCCCGTTTAACACACATTTGACCTCTAAATAACATCAATTGACCTCTCGTGAACTTACCCGTGGCTGCGGCACGTATACATTAATATGCAGGCAATCTTCGTCTTGTATCTTGTCGATGGGGATCCCCGGGGAGTCCGGTTGTATGCACGCAGTACGGAAATCGGTGGCATCGTACTCTCCTTGCCACGGTGTCTTGGGTTTAGGCGGTGCAAACCTCAGGCCACCGACCGGTGGCTCAGCGTACGGTATACCCCTATAGACATGTACAGTTCGTGTACTACCGTCAACGAATTCACTGCTGAATTCTTCCACAGTACCGATTAGTGTACCGGTAGAGATCTCAACAATGGGTCTGTCTGCATTACAGTTGGTGATAAACACCAATACAGCTAAGATGTAAGTCAAGGAGAGCATGATTTAAGGCCCGAACGACTGTCAAACAGTAGCCTCGTTTTCATCGGTTTATTTGAACTTGACTGTGCCATCAAAGCAACTTTGCAAATTTAAGGTATTGTCACTTGCAAGGTCACATACCTTGATACGATATACAAGGTTTTATACTTGTAATCACGCGGTAACATCATTCGAATGTTGAACTGTTACATTTCAAACCATTCATTTGTTATTTCGTGTACATTACGACATCATTGTTTGTGCTCAAAATAGCAACGTCGCTGACACAATTACCACGCGTACCCAAATGCCCCTGACAACACGGCAAGATTATTGGCCGACTCATAGTGGGAATCAATGCAATCAGGGCACGTACAGCCTGGTTACACAGCTTCGAAATATATACATTAGACGATTATGGCGGCCATGATATCATTGAGAGCGAGAGAACAACGAGACTTGTATATTGTTTGTTCAGTTAATGTTCCATTCTCCGAGTCCCGTCATATTTCCTATTTGTCTACTGATCTAAGTAACAACCATTTTCAGCAATGAATGTTACGATAGAATCGAATGAATGGTAAAAAACGAGTCTCGTGGCTGTATCGCAGTAAACGGATTTCACAGACCATTTTTTCTGAAATCTATTATGGTTCTTTACCAGTTATATAATTTTCATATACTAGTGTTTGGGTACATTTCTAAAAATAAATTGGTTTGAAAAAGTCGAAATAATTTTCTATTTTGCATAACCTACAACTTGTATTTCTGGTCAGTGACACACATGTTTTCCAGCTCAATTACATCATTGAATATTATATTATATTTTAGCATTTTCTTTACCAGTGAATTTTATTTGGTCATTTTTGCGGATTATTTACAATGATATACCCCATTATTCCTCATCAAGGCCCCGTACCATACAATGTAACAGTTGTATGTCAATATTAATTTTGTAAGGACATGGTTGCCTGTTCTGTACGCACGCTGCCATCTAGATTCTGCAACTGATGCCGCTGTCTTAGTGTCCGCCAGACGGTTAACTCGGTGGTGCTCTATTCAAGCAAATTGGGATTATGTCCAGGGCGCGAGTACACAGTGTTTATAGTGAGTATTACTACATTATTTGCGAAACATGACATGACGGTAAATATTCAATGAGTCGGGGGTCGCAGTTTGCATGAACAAATGAAAGGATCCCTATTCTCAGGTGTGTGTTTCATTTGTATAGTCACATTAAAAGTCACGGTTGTTATTTTATCCTTGATTAGCTAACACCCACAGGCCTTCCGGTCATGTTAAAACCGAACCCTCGCTACGTGGCCGACGCGGCGATCTGGGGAGACTATGTGTACACACTAGCGTAGAGTAGTGGCAGATCGCAGGTGGGCACCTGAGACGGCGTACCCGTGCAACGTTTACTGGGACGATCAATACAATGTTACTCCACATCACACATCAGTCACTCGATCACTCGCAAATTATTTGAAATATAATAATTATTTGATGGATTAAATAGTACGCAGATTCAGGGGCCAGTGTATGTGAAACTCTATCGTTCACTGTGGACTTTTCTCCAAGATTTCCAGGAGAAAATTGGTCATAAATCGCATGAACATGTTCTTTGGTTTATTATGTAAAATAGTGCAGCTTTTGTATCATGGCACATAAAATATCACTCTTGTGTGTTACAGTGACGTATTTTGCAAAAATTCGTTCAAATTTTTTTTTTTTCAAAAATTGCTATTTTTAGAACAATTCCATAGAGCTTAATGTTAAAAAAACATATGTTTTACTACTTTTTAAAACCCTGGTGGAGAACAACAATATAATTATTTCAGCCTATGTCACCAGCCTAAAATTTGAGATATGGCATAATATCTCTGCAGTAGAAACCTATGGTAAAAGCGTTATAATATAATATACAAAAATGGCCACTATACCACTGAAATACGAATTAAGCTGGTGACCCACAACTTTTTTATTATATTGCTCGAAAGTGTAACTGAAATCATAAGAAGCCTTCTACTTTAAGCATAACACCTGACTGATTTCATTTTAATCATTTTTTTTGACTTTCGATCGCGAGTTATTGGTTTCGCCAGAACACCGCTAGAGGGCGTATTGCAGTACCCGGATTACAATGGTGTTCGACGTCAGGCAAGCGTATAAGATTCTGTCATACATGCCTTATAAAAGGATTAACTGGTATCACAATGCTCTTTCTAGTGTAATCAAGAAAAAATCTGGCGAAATATGCCCGAATTTCGGACGTCAATTTTCATGCTTTTCCTGTAGCGAAAAATCGATCTCTCAAATGAAAGAGAGGTGATAATTGTAAGTCCAAATATTTCAGAATTTGTTCTATTTTTTTAGGAGGCAATGTACAGACTCAATTCTTTACTACCTGGATAACCTATATAGAAGCTGTTTTCCGAAAACCAGGTGTACTATTAATTGTACTTATTCGTATTATTCACAAACCGTCTACTCTGACAGCATATAGAAATGCAGCCTGATTGGTATGAGCCCAGAGGAAACAATTTGTATCCGAGTTATGAGCTGGAACTTTTATAAAATTGAGCAATGGTTTTCTTGAGTCAAGTTCAGAAATCATGTTGAGAGAGCGAGTGGACTGTCATGAATTTGTTTTTGCGTGTCTGTTAACCGACTTAATTAGTTGATTATTAGCTGAATTGCTGTGTTATGTCTGTCATAGTTTAGACCTATTTGAAGTTTTGGACGGAACTTGGCTCAGTGATTTGGAACTAATTACCAGATAACCGTCGCAATTCTGACAGTTTACATTCATAGTTATTAATGTAGTGAACGATTAATCAAAAGATATGACGTATTCAGTACTTAGTATGATTGGCTTTATGATTGAAGATTACGCCCTAGAGTTTTTTTACTGCATTGTAATTGGTTAGAGTTGTGAAAATGAATAAAGAGAGTTTGAGTTGGTCTTGGGGAGCACAGCACGATAGACGCAGTAGAGAGAGTGCAGTCTGAGAGTCGTGGTCCAGTACTGGAGAGCCTTGTTGACGCAGTCTAAGAGAGTCTTGGGGATATTTCCCCAGGGCGCTGTGTCTGATAGAGTGCTCGATTGACCGACTAAGACGAGAGCTGAAACGTATTCCGTTGTGTGAGTTTTATTTGACTGTAAAGTATAAGTGAATTTCCCGATCCCGTACCTCGAGGGGACGAGATATAGAGACGAGACGAGATTTCCCCCTGACAAGTGTGGAGGACCCGAGAGTAAAAGATTTTCCCCCTGATAAGACACAAAAATGTATTCCCATATTCTAGCTTTGTCTATGAATTCAGTTACCAGTCAAATCGTTATCGTTGCAGCTGATATCTGCAATGTTCTGATTATTTAGTTGATAGGTATAAATTGTTATTGTAATGAAAGTATAATTGGTAAAAGTAAATGGAATACAAGGCAATGTAACATCATTCTGGAGGGATTTGTGAGGTTCAGAAATATTTTTCGAAATAGAACTTACGCTCCGGGACGGCAATACATAGATCTTGCCTAATGGGAACGTGCCCCTGAAATGGGTCTCGTTTTTTGGATTTTCGGTGTAAGTATAGTCTTATTTCTGGTCAAGAAAGGTATAAATATCGGTAATATTTTTCCGAATTGGTATAGAGAGGGCGCACATTCCTCAGTGAATTGGCTTACATGTGCTTCTATTAAAGATGCTCTTTTAATAGAGCAAATACGGTAATTGTTTTATTTGGAATAAACAGTGATGAGAGAAATGGTACTTTGGTATACATATGGTTATAGATTTTGCCACTATCTAGGTATAACAATGGTCACACTTTTGAGCACTCAGGGCACCTTCCTATCCAGCTATGTATCAACTGCCCCGGGACTTACGCCTAGATGATCATTCAAAAAACAATCCCACTCGCAGTGCGCCCACACGCGTTCAAACCTTGAAATGGCAGCCATTAGGAATTCGAAATCAAGAATTATGTTATCAAATAGGCACGACATCCATTCCTGTCAGTCACGCCCTCTGATGGTGAAACACCTTTATGACGTCTAAATGACGTAGATTGGTGTAGGCAATATCATTCAAATTGACAATCGTGTCCAATTATGCAGTCGTCTGTTATTTTGAATACATTAATTTCTCAAAGGCGTTATTTGTCATTGAAGATCAACAGCTAATCTGAACAAAGGCCATATAGGTATTAGAAGCAGTAGAATGAACCTTTTCACCGCCTTTTCTTGGCCAAATGTTTCTGCACAGGCCGCTACGGGCTGCATCGGGTCATTGTCGTTGGTGTTCAGGAGTATAGCTGACCGTTTCTTTGTCTGAGCCCTGCGTAGAATTGCCGAAAGAACACACTCAAGTCGTCTGCTGCCTATTTCACGGCGTCGATGAGCTATGTGTCATTTTTCATCGGTATTTTTTCCTGACTATCGATATCTGCGACTGAAATAGACGACGCAGACAACATTCTGAACAACGCATTGTCACGCGAGTCACTGACGTAACCGACACTTGGAAACGATCTGTTGACAGCCTATAAACGTCCATCAGTATAACACACTTTTTACATTACTTTTACACTACATCTAGCAACCAGAAAGTTTACAACATTGGTTATTTGGTGAGCAAAGACCAGATAGGACAAACGCTGAAAATGAAATAATTTCTTTTTTGTTAACTCTTCAAGGACATTAATGTATACGTGAAAGGTATATGTAGAATGAATGTCTAACAATGTCTCGCTGTAGCGTTATTTAACAATACAACTCTTTTAGAAATGTATCCACAGACAAGAATGCAATGCAAGTTAAATATAACTTGAGTCAGTTGTAAAACAAATAGGTGCTATCACGCAATACACGCAAGTATGCAAATCGCACATGTCAAGGCACTGTCTGACCTTGCCAGCTGCAGTTCTTAGCAGTAATAAACCTAACAACAAAGGCAAAACAATGAAACAAAACACCAAATCCATTTTTCCTGTTCCTAAGCGTCATATAACCTGAAAAT